GCTATGGTCTCTGCAGGGCATTGTGGGTCATAAACAGCAGCATCACAGGATTATTTATGATTTGCATGAGAGCTAGCCCTGACCTGGATGGCCCAGGCAAGCCCCATCTTGTCAGATCTCGGAAGCTAAGCAGGGCTGGCCCTGGCTAGTACTTGGATGGGAGACCTCCAAGGAATACCAGGGTCGTGACACCGAGGCAGGCGATGGCAAGCCACCTCTGAATGTTCTGTTGCCTCCAAGCCCCACTAGTGGTCGCCACTAAAAGAGAAGATGAGTTGCATGGGAGCTGATATGTATGCTTGCAGCATTTGGCTTGCCAATTGTATCAAGGTGTTATTCCGCAGGGATTAATTGCTGCTCAAGGCATAGCTTCATATGGAGCAGACTGTCGTGGTTTTGAGCCTATTTTAGAGGTAGGTAGTACACATTGCCATGGATCATAGAATGGCTGGATGCAGGCATCACTTTAAACGTTTTATATTTCTGGAATTTTCCCCCACTGTAGTTGTTATCTACCTGTGGCCAGAGGCTTTGGCAAATGTCTCGGTGTACATCTGGTGTGACAATCACACCACAGTGCACATAATGAAGTCAGAGTTATCCAGATCACCAAGGGTCAGGAGGTTAGCTAGGGAATTTGTACATCACTGCCTGAGATTCAACATTCTGTTTGTGACTCATCATACTCTGGGTCTGGATAATTGCACAGCTTATGCATTATTTCATTTCCAGATGGAGCACTTTTAACTCCAGTCTCCCTAGCAGCAGATGTGACAGAGGAGGCACCAGAGAAGATTGCAGTGGCATTATGGAATTTGGGAGGAGTAAGACTGTCAGGCAATAGCGCCAAGGCTTTCAGGATTTCAGATCCACGCTTTCAGGATTTCAGATTCAAATCCTGGCTACAGTAAGAATGGTTGGGGGGGGGGAGGTTGGCTGATGACACTGGGAAGAGTGTGAAAGATAAAGGGAACATAAAAAGCTGATATAATATGGCAGAAAATATTGCCTCGGTAGCTACTGCCTATGAGATTCAGGTCACATTTTCCTCACTTTATGAAAAACACTGTTTAGGATTGCATCATTCACAATATTTCTGGTGCTCTCTGTCTTGTGAAGTTGGTTGTAAGTTTGTTGGCAGATCACTCTGATTAAGCATTCCAATATAAGGGCATACTCTGTGTTGAGCAAGGAATGCTAATAAGGCTTTTGTTGTTCAGTCGCACAGTCGAGTCCGACTCTTCGCGACCCCATGGACCAGCTCCCTTAGCTAATAAGGCTAAGGGTAACTAAAATGGATAAGAAAGGAATTAGTACCCAAATGTAGGTCATTTATCCAGCTGAGGCACAGTTACTTTGAGATGTGGAGGCACAACACTGGCACTTTATCAGGCACAGTGACACCAGACAACTGCTGGGTTATTTATCTTGAGCACATTTCACATAGGAGCAACATCCACAGTAGCCTGTTTGGGCAGCAATGGCCGAAAGCATGAGAAGATGATAACCGTAGCTCTCTGAAATTATGTTAGACTGGTAAGCTCATTAGGACAGGTAAGAAATGCTGGTCCAGAAAGAAGTATTCAGCCTCACTAGCATTCTCAGCTAATTCGACTGCAGGCCAATTGGAGTGATACACGGCAGCTTGTATTATGGCTGGAAGTGTATTAGGGAACTGACAGTATCTATGCAGACTAAAATTCTAACCAACACATCTTTGCAGGTGTGGGGAGCCATGGTCTGCCTAAGCAGGTAATCATCTATAACCACAGCACTGTGTTCTTGGCAAGAAAAGGGTGGGCTGCTCCAGCATCAGCTGGCAGCATGGCATCAGTCCTTCCTCCAGGATCAACTGGTTGAGAAAGAGGGCATGGCATGGTGTTGTACCAGCTGCTTTCAGCCCTTTCCATCACATGAAGGCCTGCCATCTGACTCAAATTATTCTGATCCACCTAGGTGAGAATGATTTTGGTAAAACAAAAGATAAGTCAATTAATATCCAGACATAAGCGACCTGACCTTGCATATTGCTTGGTTCCCAGGTGTATTTTTAACCAGGTCTGGAATGCTCCAAAGAAGGGTGCGGAAGGCCAGCAGCATCTCCAAGGGTATTGGCAGAGTCAGAAGAAAAGTGAGCCATGTTACTTGCAGGAGGCATACGACTCCTCATTTTGGCATCAAGCACTCACTGCTGCAGCTGTATAGGAAGGATGGCAGGTACTGCTCAGATGAAGAATATGAAATGTTCCTCAAGAATCTGAATCTGAGACAGGACTTGCTAGAAGACAATCAAGCAGGTGAGGGGGTGAGGGTAAACAAAAGCTCTTCTGTAATGATTGATGACACGATGCACGTAAGCATGCACTAAAGAAGAAACAGGGAAGTCTGCTGAATACACTGAGACATCAACTGGACTATGAAGAGAACTTTCCTTAGACTGGAAACTCACATCTAACTTGGATAAGATGAACATGACTTAGCAGCTCGGGGAAGGCAATCTAATGCTTAGCAGCTAGGAGAAGGCATTTTGGCAGGCCTCCCTCAAACATCAGCAATGGTTGACCGGAAAGAATTGGACCAGGAATTATGAGGGCTCAAGGACTCTAAGCTAGGGTAGCGGTGCCGAAGATGGTGTCCTGATTCCACTCACTTCTGAAGGTTAGCTGCCTATAACTCAAAGGAACAGGAAGTTCAATAGCTGATGCTGCCTGATGCAGTAAACTTAAAATTACTCCCCTTTGCTACAAACTTAATAAAGTTGTGTGGCCCTTATTCATCAATAATGTATCTGGACCTCTTCGTTCTGTGGAAAGCTAATGTTCTGAAAGGGACTGTACTGTCAACTCTAGATGGGGTAAGGTTGTCATTAGCCAATCAAGTTAAGAGTTTAGGATATTCTTGGATCCACCCTTGGTAATAGAGAAGAAGGTTAATGTAATTGCTAGGAATGCCACCTTTTATTTTAATCTGCTGATCCATGCACTAGACTAGATTAGTGTAACACACCACAGGTGGGGGCTGCACATGAAGTCAAGTTGGAGGCTACATCCACTGCCAGTCTCACAAAGGTTGCTTTGACTCTTGAAAGCTTATACCCCCCCAAAAAAATTCTTGTTGGTCTCTAAAATGCTACTGGACTCAAATCTAGCTGTTCTACTGCAGACCAACATGGCTACCCTTTGAAACTATCCACTGCTAACATGCCAACTTTTTACCTTAGCTGCAAGCAGCATTGAACATGTATTAGTCTTGATACAGTTACACTGGCTGTCTATATCCTTTTGGATTCAATTCAAGGTACTGTTCTTTCTTTAAAGGCCATTCACAGTCTGGGGCTCACACATCTGAACGAATCTTCTTATATGAATCTTCTTATATGAATACCCATAACAGCTGCACCCCTTACAGTAGCCCCTGTAGCTCAAGATAGCACATTTATCTGTGGCTGTCACCCATTTATCTGTGGCTGTCTCACTATTTTCCCATCATACAAACAATTTTTTATAATGGGCTCCCAGAAGTGTCACACAAGGTGGCAGTCTTAAACTGTGGTTTAAATTTTTGTTTTAATTTTTGTTAATTCACTGTAAAATGCCTTGAGTTCCACAAGGTGGAAAGGTGGCTCATAAATGTTTTAAACAAATAAATAAATTCTGACTGTTAGATGCTTGATGGGGTTGGGAAGGAAATTTTACCAAGGCTGCAGAATGGCAAAAGCAGTTTTTTTGCCACCATATTTATTATAGTGTGCACAGGGGAACAAGGCTTATAAAGGGATTGTGCAGCTTGCTTTGTCACAAATTTGGTGATGGTACTTCAGCAACAAACAGGGGCACAGGCTTTCAAAACCTGTCTAGGAAGGGGTACACGTGATCCTCCTTAAGAAGCTTTGGGGAACAAACTCCCAAGCCAGTCATGTCACTGAAAGAAATAAAAAACATACCCCCAGGAAGGTGTCAAAGCAAAGTAGCTTCTTGCTAACATTGACTCACTCGCAGGGTAAGCAAAGTAATAATATGTGGCAAAATTAGAGCTAACCTGCCAATTATGCCCTCATCCCTTCTTTAGGAGTGCACCAAAATTGGTGATGTTGGTAAAGATCATTAATATAAAGTTGTAGCCTATACTTTCAGCCCAGTGATGTGGACATTCAGACAATTCATCTCCAAAACAATACAAACAGTCCTTATCCTCCCCCAGATGGCACAGCTGGATCTACATGCAATAGTGAGATGTTAAAGCTAAATGGATTCTACTACTTTAGAAACATACATGTTAATTGGGATCCAACTACCTTTCTGCCAGAGTTTTCCTAATGAGGAATAACTCTACACTGACTAGACTGTTGAGACCAATAATGTGGACCAAATGTGCTCAGACTACAGAGTGTGAACTGCTGATTACTATGGTATTCAGCAAATATACACTATAAGACATTTTCCACCTTAACTCAGATATTGGGTTAAAAACAAATGCCCCTCAAAGATGATGCTAGTTTCATCTGGATAAAGAGGTTAAATTTTTGCACTTTCAAGATTTTTATTAAAATGTAAAAGATAGCTAGAAGTGTTATTTAAAAGTGACTTTAAAATTTACAGAGCTGTATCTTACAATAACAATACTATTAATAAATAATGTTCAAATAAATGCTGCTTAAAATACAGCCATTGACAAAACACAAAAATCACTTCTTCAATAAGGATGGAAGCAGGTTTGAATATAATATATTCAGACAATTCATGTGTAGAATAATCTAAATAGCCCAAACAACATAAACATCCACAAAGTAAGTGCTAAACAGACTGAGTGTGAATTCTTCTAAGGAATTAAGAAAGTTTAATACCTATTTATTCATTAAAGGCTATGAAAAGAATATTTAATGAAAGAAATGTGTCTGGAAGATTTTAGTCATGTTCCTGAAATTCAAGAACAGGCCTGTCAAAGGATGCACAAGTACTTTGCAGCAGGCCACACAGGGATAAATTAGTAGATCCTCCTACCTTAGCTTCATTTTATCATGCACCCTTCCATGTTGGATACACTGCTCCTCCAATTCATCATTCCTTCTTTGCATCTTCTCAATTCTGTCATGGACATATTCATTTTCCTGACTAAGCTTGCTGATTTCAGACCTAGAGAATTAAAAACACTGATGATGGATGTTGCCAGATTTTACTTGCAGTGTACCACCACGTTAACAAAACTCCAGTGCGCATCTGCATCTTAGAAGCAATGAGAGCAAAGGGCTGTTTTTATTAAATTGGAAAATACTATAGGCACTGGGAATATGAATCTACAGAATGATTTTTTTGGCAAATGGGTTACAATAATAGGGGCCACTACTATTTCATCTTTTAATCCAATATATCCTTTCGGTTTGGACCACCATATTAGAAGCTGATACCCGAAATGATCCATTTTATGCTGCAATCCTGTACTCCAAAGCATAGTTAAGCAAACTTAATTGGACAAGACTGGATACAAGATTGGATGCATGCTACTGGAAACTCCATGCTACAATAATGGATTTACACTGCTGTTAACAGAACCACCTGAGACAGCCAATGATTAGTACAGATTTGTTCTAATACTGAGAAAAAAACTGGCAAAATGCAAAAGAGCTCTGTTGGTTCAGCAGCAGTTTAGGGCCATGGATTTACCCTACACTTTTGTATTCTAGGTACAGCAATAAAAGCAGTATTCTTGGAGCAGTTTGGCTGACCAAACAGAGCCACAAACCAGAGCCACAAAAGAGTTGCTATGTCCTGTAAATTGATTCAACATTTAGTATACATACAAAAGTGGCTTATAGCCAGCTTTGTCACTTCAAATTCTGGTAGGCAGAGCACAAATGCAACCTAGATGTTCTATTCTTACACTGTTTTCTACTTTTTAGAGATTCAACCACTTTAGTTTATTATACCTAAATGTGAAGTATGTTCTATTAATTTAATTTAATTGAGATCAGGAAGTCCATTAAAGAGGTTGAATATTATAGTACCGGCTTATTTTTCATATAATTTCTGTTTTGTATTCTGATCCTTTAGCTTGAGCAAATATTTTACTCCTGGTGTTCGAATGTAATGACTGCAGTCTTCCAATACAGCATGAACATGCAGAAAAACAGTTCAACCGGGTGTGTGTTCTTTACTTCAATTAAACTCACACAGTTGGATGCCTCCTGTTGCCAAAACGGTAATATAATTCATCCATTATAGTCAAACAGTAAAACTACACTAAAAGTCATTTAACAATATTTATAACACCATAAAATATAGTGTTAAAATATATGGACTGCAATATGCACCAAAATTATAAAATTTGTTTCTCATCATCAGTGATTAAAAACAGGATCATTTCTCTAGCTTCAATACACTCAACCCTGGTGACAGATTAGAATTCAAATCTTAATGATCAATTTACAATTAACAAGATAGAAGTGAAACAAATTAAACCAACCATTCTATATAACGAGACCCAATGGACACCCATTGTTGCCCTTAATTACAAAACGCAAATCACAAATACACAATGGACAGTGTCAAGCATCAATCCACAAGCCTCAAATTCTGAGACAATCCAAAAAAGGGCAAGTAAAATTATACAGATAACACCCAAGGACTGTATTTTTACGTCTGCATGTGTACACAGTATCAGCTGTGCAGCTTGAGGGGAGTAAATGCTGTACTTCCAAGATCCGCCCCTATATGTATAAAAATTTCACTCATGACATTTTTATTACTATAGATTCCACACACCAACTCTGTTTGAAGACTCAGCTATGTGAATACATTACTTAAGGTAACTACTAAACTTCCGTAATGTAAATGCATCTTTATGCATCCTAAATATTTCTGGCGTAATCCCTACAAGACATTTTATTTATGTTTAATAAGTATGTTATACTTCTAGTTCTGACAGCTACCTTACCAAACAGCCTGACTGCGATGCACATTTAATTTATAGAGCTCTAACAGATGAAAGGAGCTGCGGTAGCTCAAGTGGTTAAGATGCTGAACTGCAGGCTGTGGAAGGTCAGTAGTTCAGTAGTTTGAGACCCGAGAGTGCTGCATGACGGAGTGAGCTCCTGTCTCTGGCCCCAGCTCCTGTCAACCTAGCAGTTCCAAAGCAAGAAATTGCAAGTAGATAAATAGGTAACGCTTCAGTGGGAAGGTAACAGCGTTCCGTGCATCTTGGCATTTAGTCATGCTGGCCACATGACCATGGAAATGTCTTTGGACAGCGCTGGCTCTTCGGCTTTGAAACGGAGATGAGCACTGCAACCCTAGAGTCGGATTCGACTGGCTTTCGAGCAAAGGAACCTTTACCTTTAACAGATGAAATGGTGGAAATTGTACTTCAAAAAATATCAAGAGTACTATAAAACTGTCCTTTCCACACCACAAATTGCTGGGAACAGATCTTTCTTTTTCAAATTTCTAGATGGAAGCTATAGAAGTTCTGAAAAAAATTAAGTACTCATGCAGCTTCTCTTGGGCATTATATAAACCCTCCATGTTCATAGGTGTCCTGTACAGTTCAACTAAATCTTCTGCCATTGTCAGTACTAGTCTGTGCAGCAAAAACAGCTGCAAACCTGTCCAGCACTACAGAATGTATTTAATAAGGAGAATAGTACAAATCATTAACAACAGAGTTGTCAGCAATTAAATTCACTTATCTTGTCTATCAGTTATGCAACTGGAGAGTAGACTGATAACTAGAGCATATATAGTAATGAAAGCTTTACTTCCATCAAAGTCTCAGAAATCAGGGTTTGGGGGCAGCTCATAAAGCACATTCTCTAAATGGGGAGAACTTTGGTCACATTCCAAAACATCATATTAACAAATGTCTGTGTCTCAACAGCAAAGCTGTCTCACATTCATGGCAACACATATTACATGGCAAAGTTATCGGTTCCCATTGTACCTAAAACATTTTGGCTTCCTGATTATATTTATAACTACTCCATATGCAGAAAAGCTGTGATCCTTCCTGGAAAGCTATTTAAAAAACAAGTCTTTGACAATTAACAATAGGTAAATAAATAAATGACGACAATCCAAAACAGTAACAATATTTCATTCTGATGAATAGGTGTAAGGGGAGTTTGCAGAACTTGCTTCCTTAAGCAAGCAAGGCCACTACCGATGCCCGTGGTGGCTCCCTCCTGTTTATGCGTGGGCCACTGAATTCTGTACAAACAGAAGTTTCCAAATAATTTTTAAGAGCATGTTCATACAGAATGTACTGCACTAATCTAGAGGCGACAAAAGCTCCAGTGAGAGCTGCCAGGTTAAAAAGAAAAAAGATTAGGTGAATTTGGCAGAAGGTGTCCGTAGCTTCTGCTACAGGCTAGGCTTTTAGGATCACCTCCAAGAACAGGGGTGTCAAACATGCTACCCACAGGCCAGATCTGGCCCCTGAAAGCCACCCATCCAGCCCGAGAACAACTGACTCTGTGTTGCTTCCTGCTTCCTGTTTCTAACATTGCAGCTCCTTTTGGCCAGTCACTGATTCAGAAGAGAGAAAGAAAGCCTTTCCTGCTTCAGAGGAGAGAAAGAAAGCCTTTCCTGCTTCAGAGGAGAGAAAGAAAGCCTTCCCTCGATTGGCTAAGGGATCTCCCCCCCCCCCGTCCTCCTCTGGGGAGAG